AGGTGGACAATTACCGACCGGTTTGTTTTACTTCCGTGGGATCTACTGCGATTGCTGGAATCTAAAAACCTGGCGCCCGCACAGAACGGCTTCATGAAGGGCAGCTCCTTTAACACCAGCTTGTTGACGCGACCTGTATAGTTGCAATCGTTGTACCGGGGAAGTCGGTGGATGTGGTCTACATTGACTTCGGCAAAGAAGGTGAACCATGAGGTACTTTACAACAGGCTGCGGATGTACGATGTTGGCGGCTCATTGCACAAGTAGATCAGTGGCTTCCTTATTGAACGAAAATCGACAGTACTGGTTTATGACCATCTGAGGGACCGCTATTTCTCCACCAGTGGGGTACCCCAAGGTATAATACTGGGTCCATTTTGTTCCTGGTCTTTTTTTAATCTCTGGCATTTGCAATCAACTTCTGTCATGTAGGCCCTTGGTAGTGTAGTTTTTACTTTGCCCGAATTAATTCTGTCTGGAATGTTAAAATCAATCGCATTTTTCAATCTAAACATTTGTCCATACATCTCTGACGCGAGAGACTGGATCAGTCTTTTCTGTTGGGTTACTGAGTGATACTAACGTTGCCAAGTGATCTTTAAGTGGTTCAAGGGTGACTACAATGTTATTATCTCAGAATTTGGATTCTGTAGACGACCTCAGCAGTGAGTTCTGAAATATGACCACGTTTGAAGTGCGACAGGCTTGTGGTTCTTCTGTAGTCTCATTTGTTGTTAGCCTTGGGTTCATCTTTGGGCCTGACTTCAGAAACGATGCTCAACGGCCTTGACGCTGCTGGGCACCCTACCCATGGAATCTGGTAAAATGCCCCATTCTACTATCCTGAGTAACTGGCAGCTCAGAAGCATACTCAAAAGCGGAAGTGAGATGTTCTACAAGTAAAGCATCATAACGAAGTTGGCTGTAAATGCATCCAACCTAAGGTTGAGAGGGACTCTTCGGTCCGGTGATATTTGGCACGTTTGTGAGCTGTCACAGAATAGGTCAATATCGTCTGCATACTCCAAGTTAAGAAGTCGTTCTCCTGGAAGCAGATCCACAACTTCTAAGTCTTGTCCCGTGAACGCGATTTCCATGACTTCGTCAATACCGAAGTAGAAGAGCAGCGGACATCCTTGTCTCACACCGCTGGATCTATTAAAAGGCGACGACAACCTGCCGTAAGCCCTCACTCTGCCCGAGCTTCGCGCGTATAATGATTCGATAATATTTACATATTTCTCAGGTACAACTTTCCTGATAGACAGTCGCAAAGTGCACGTCCATCCAGCAAATTGGATGCACCTTAGTTATCGAGGAACATGACAACGGTGGGCCGCCAATATATTTGACGGTGCTCCAACAACTGACGCGAAGTGAAGATGTGGTCAATGCAATCAAGACCTCGAGGAAACCCGGCTTGCTTTTCGCGAATCTGGCTTTCACAAGTTCCAGTCAGTCTGCGAAGGATTATGGAGGCAAGCAATTTGGAGGCTATGTTGATCAGACTGATTTTTTTATGGTTGCCGCATTCCGATCGTGAGCCTCTCTTGAAAACTGGAACTATGACTGAGCGGCTCCAGTCGGTTGGGACAGTTTCTTGCTCCCAGTTTCACTAGTAACTCGTGTAAACCATTCACAAGAGCAGATTCCCCGAATTTGAAGTGAGATGAAGGTAGATCATTTGGTCTCGCGGCTTTATTTAACGTCAACAGTGCGATCTCGCGTTGGACTTCTGATCGAGAGCGTGGGTCCAAAGGGACAGCCCAGGGAGCGGGGCGATCAGTGGCCGGCGAGAAATCTAACAATTCCGACCGATTAAATTGCGTTTCAAAGTGCTCAGCCCAACGGTCCAAGCGTTTTGTCAAGTTATGGATAGCTTGTCCACTCTTGTCACGTATATTTTCCTTACCACCAGGTCTTCTAATGCCTGTTTCCGATATCAGCCAGAATGAGTTACGATGGTTACCAAGGACAGCGGCTATTTCCATCTCTGAAGCACGATGAGACCACCAGGATTCGCGGTCTCTCTTCAGGCTAGCACGGAGTTTTGCCCAGAGCTCTTTGGGAGTTTCATTGTGTTCGCTTCCATCCGGGATATGCCGGCGAGCGTCGATGAGTTCCAGAGACTGCGAAGAGACCCAATATCCATATTGGCGAGTAGACTTACCACATGAGGATTTTTCTGCCGCTAGTAAGGTCTGGCGATCATGTAACCAGTGACCATCAATTGTCTCAACTCGCATGTCAACGTACTTTGATACGCATTCAGAACAGCTGGCTTTGTCAGTTGGCTGGTGTCAATGCGCTCACAACGTCGTCTTGGGCGTCCGCCAAAACGCATCCGCATGTCAGCGCACACAAGTATATGCTCGGTGTCCACACATATGCACCAAATCGAGCGACAGTTTTGGATGCAGCATTGTCATCCTTAAGTTAACATAATGTGATCAATTTGCATCCATAGTTGGTTTGAGGCTGGTAGGCGCCAAGTTACCCTCCAGCGGGTGCTTTGTCGGAAATTGGTGCTCACAGCAAATAAGCGAGCATCTTCACACAAATGTAGTAACCACTTAACGTTATCATTACGGGAGCCTACACCATGTTGGTCACCCAGATGCAGTTCATCAGTGGATATCATTCCAACTTGAGCGTTCAGATCCCCAGCTAGCACATCAGTGTCAGAGCTTCCTCTTTGTCGAAGAAGCTCGTTCAATTTGCGATGGGAGTCATCTTTTACCGAATCATCGCTAGAGTTTGTGGCTGCATTGGCAGCGATAACGAATAGACACCTGTTAGTCCTGCGCCTCTTCGAAGCTTCGAACGAGCCGGCCAATCGGACCGCACGCAACCCGCTACTGATGTGAATCCAGGCAACCAGAGCAGCATTGGCCAGGGGACTCAGGACAATATCAACACCGGCTTGGCCGGTGCTCGAAGCTGAGTCGTCACCGGATAGGCGCAATGAGTAAGTGCTGCTGGAGTCACCTGAAGGGGCTCGCAGAGTGAGCACGGAGCTCGAGCCTAGCAGGCGGGTCTGCGATAAGTAGCAGATATTGACCGAGAGGGTCTCTAACGTTCGGGAAGGTGCTGCTTGTTGACCGACCTGAAGCAATGTGCGTACATTGAGGCATGCCACTCTGAAGGAGGATCGAGGGCTCCAAATGGAAGTCGATGAACTGGGCTTGGCCGCTTGCTTGGATATGGGCTTGTTGACAGTTCAGGGAGGACGCTCCGCCTTCACATGTGAGTTGAAACTAGAAGGTGAAAGCCTATCAATGCAGTGTAATAGAGAGCCAAGAATTGGGGGTTGAAAACGGGGGGGGGGGATAAAAGTGAATTTGGAACTGGAGCATAAGGGAGAAAAAGTGTTTGAGCAGTAGCATCCAAACCTCTATCCACTCTGCTCGATGTAGCAGATAGGTCATCGTTTATTATCCACTGCGGTGGTCAAAGCATCAAGAAACTGTTTGAGTAGAAATTCGTTGTATTGCGTGGGCAGGATACTGTCAGGTTGTCCAGGCCTAGACAGGAGAACTATTAGGGTTCTCAACCAAAAACCTGACCGCAAAGAGTGGGTTTGGCGTTGGGCTATAAGGAGTCCGTTTTAAGGAATAAGGGGCCACCTCATTCCAACCCCCAACCTGGAGATCCAGAAGGCTAAGTTTGTCTAGCTTATAACCATTGACCAATCTGGTATGAGTGGCTCTGAAAGTGCAAAAAAGCACCATCCATCACTGCTCAATTGATCTGAAGCACTCAAACCATTACACCAAGGTAAGGTCCAGCCTCATTGGTAAATCAGGAGTCGCGCGCACAATCAGATGACGCAAATGTATTTTATCATTTCAAATACGAGCATTCATAAGAAGCCTCTTGGCAGTGCTTTGCTTGTGCGGCAAAGATCGTTGAGTGGTAATTGTTATAACATTGCTTCTGAATGCATCAGTAAGCCGCTGTGGGATAGTGTGGTAGTTTAAATCTAGGGCTACTGTGGATGCAGTAAGATTGGCATTATTGTGCTAGATTTAGAAGCTGGTTGAAGAATTGATGCTTCACTGGTTTGACAAAACCAGACACAAGGGGTATCGGTAGTGGGTTCCAACCGTAACCAAAAGAATGTTGCGCTTGGGTCAGGGTTACACATGTTGGTAGCCGGAAGAAATACGGGGGACAGCAGATGCCACGTTCTATTCCGTCAAACATTAAAGTTTTACCAGATTCTCTTTTGGTGATGTGAATGTCAGGTCACTAAATTGAATGATCCGTCTTAGAGTATGACCTTGGGAGTACAACGATTTAATGTCAGATGAATCAGATAAACAAAGGAGCAGTGGAACGGAATGCTCCACAAACGAAGATTGGAGTCTGATACCAGAGTGTATGCGTCTCGTTAGGTTCTTCATACCTACTTGTAGAACGTCGTCTACTTCGTGCTCAGTGGGTATATTTAAAGCCCAGGGCATTTTAGGCCAACATTGCTCCTGAGTGGACTGTTTTCTTTTTTATCAACGATTCGATAAATGTTCATCCTTTGGTCGGGGTATTAGCCATTGCGTTGCTTATACGTGATGTAGTAGGTTCGGTGTTTACGCTTAGATTCTGACAGCTACTCAGATGAGTAAAGAGGTCTGCCACTTTGAACGGTTTTTCGACGATGATGAAAGATTTTGGTGAGTCGGTCCTGTGGCAAAGCACATCTGAACTATTAAAGGCTGAACGATTGTTATCCTGCCATTCCCGACAGACAGCGGCAATGCACACTGCTTAAGCTGAGATTGTCCCATTTATGATTCATTGATGGGCTTCCACCTAAGGTAATGTTTACGAATGGAATCTGTTTTGGACCTTCATCCAGACTGCATTTCCGATACCGTTATGCTGAATACTCACGTATGTATGACTTGTTCGATACGCTAATCTGGTTCCTCTGTTTATTTTCATTTTTCTGGTATTTAACTATGAACATTACTCACTCCTTCCATCTGTCTACTGGATAGGCTGCGTTTAGTCCAAACAGGGGCGTCCGACGGTGTTTTCGCAACTCCAAGTGAGTCATTTTCCTATTTACTTCATGTAGCGTGGCATTTTCCCATTTATTTCACTGGTCGGAACTCTGGTTACCTTACGTAAGTGGTACATTTTTTGCACTGCGCGAGATACAGTCCAACTAGTTGATCTGATCATATGGTACGACAGAATTGCAAATCGTAGATATTTGTTCAGGTTTTCCAAAGTACTTCCGAAATAGGTTTTCAGGGTCTTCGAGCTGTTTTATACGTTTGACGGAGGAGTTGAGAGTAGAATGAATGTGCTTATTGCAAGAAGTTCAAGTGAAGTAATGCGGCAATCTACAAAACCTACTCTGGGGGATTTCCTTCCATGCGGGATGGTTTATCAAAAGATTTTATCCGCACTTCCGCATCCCATCTGGCCGGTGTGGTACAACACCAAGTAATCCATCGCCGTATTAGCTCATCTTTAAGGTCCTTGTTGTGTATAGGAAGAAATATGCTCTTTTTACCTAGTTTTAAGCCATTCATCCCGTTTCAACATCCGTCTCTTTCGAGTCCAGCACTTGTGTGCATTCGTTACTCGCCAATGGGTCTGTAGCGATTCTTCTTGCATGGGTGTAGATCACTATGGAAGCATTACTTCATCACCTTAGGATATCGGTCCAATCGTGACCAACAATGACAAAAACAAATTTAGTGAAATGAATGTAGCGAGAAATGAATGGCATGTATTTGTCGGTTTCTGCTTCAGTTTGTAGATAGGAATTACATGTTGAATGTATTTTTATTTTATGTATTGTATCACAGTAGCTGAGCCGTTTTCCACCTCTAGCTAACGTGTCGGCCCGTCGCCTAGTGGTAACGAACTTGTCTCGTAATCTTGCGTCGCATGTTTTAATCCGCGTAGGTTTGGGCGTCCACGCGGTATACTCTGCCCGCGTGCGGCTGGTACTTGTCGCATGGCGACGAAGCGTCGTTAGGGCGTCCAGCTGACACCTTATTTATTAGCTAACGTGTATACTGATATAATGGTAACAGAAAAGAATAAAAACAGACCATTGTTAAGTACTTTGAGATTGATCCAACGATTCCAAGGATTAGAGTATTTGATATCGAAAATTGACTTCGTGGAGCACTGAGAACTGATACGGGGACTCGCGTCGTTTTCACCGGGAAAGAAGAGATTACAGTTCGCAATGCAGTGAGAAAGGAACTATCAGATTGGCATAGTGAAACTATGGACAACGTGATGTTTTAATTAGCAGGAGCTAAAGAGAGTTTAACGAGTCGAAGCGAATGCTATTCAGGCAATTTCACACATGATCATACATTGTTTCCATTCTACAGTCCAGTTTCACAAGAGTTTTGATTTGCAACACAGTGATCAGTTTAATTACACAACTATAATCCAGACACCGAAGTACAGTTGATGCAGTTGCCACGAATCTCATCGCCAAGATAACAACAAATTACGATGATAAGAAAACGAGGCAAGAAGTGTACGGAATGCGAAGTGTTATTAAGGAAGGGAATAAAACTAATCGAGATGGGTTAGTACCAGTTGGATGCATGAAACAAAGCGCAGGAGCATCACTGACTGCGCCATCTCTAATATTACCCAACATCTGCTATGGACTGTACTGAGGCTGCCATCCTATAATTCGGCACTCACCAATTTCTTCATACCAATCTGCCACATCATCGACTGGCCACCTCGCGGTTTCGGCCGACTAAATGCAGCGGCAGCATGCAATGAGCGTTGTGGAATGCGGTCATCTGGTATAGGGAGGGCATAACCTAGCCACTGTAGGCTGCTAGGTTGTAACAGTCACTCCAGTGAGGCATCAGAGGGTTTCTTATCAAACACTAACTGACAAATCACAACGGTACTTGCTCGGTGTCCTCACGAGATGTGAGCAGTGCTTTACATTTATATATATATATATATATATATATATATATATATATATATATATATATATATATTTGCAACAGTCTATGAATAGACATTTGCACCATCGGAAACCATGGAACTCAAAACAAGGTACAGAAATAGTAAAAGAAAACACAACACAACAATGTCCACGGTTTCGTCAGAGGGCGAAATACTACCCGGTTGCCCAAGCCGAAGTAGGGTGTTGACTTAGGGGACACCACCCCGAGCCTTTGGCTGAATAGCCTGTCCGCAAGGCAGCGGAGCGAATTCAGGGAATCGCGCCCATTGGGAGCCGGTGACTGATTGATCAGTTCATACGCCTTTCGTTTGTTCCTTTGCCAAACAGGGGCCCAATGCTCCCCGAAATTACAGCATCAACTTGCTGGAATACAATGCTTCGCCAGGATGAAGCAAGGGGCAGTGACTTTATTTAGTGGCGAGTCACGTCCGCCACGTCACAATGTTGTTAAAGGGACATATGTGGCTTTTTATAGGGGGAACGCTTGCCAGGCGAAAACCCACCACGTCCTGGAACACTGCCGCCGAACCATTTGCTGGAACGGGAAAATCCCGAACCACCCAGCTGGCACCACGAGGAGGTTGTTCGGCAAGCCAGCTTTACAGTTACCGGTGATCAAACACGGTCAGGCGCTGAACTCATTTTCTGCCGGCGTTTTTAAGCAGAACTTTTAAAATACATCTTAAAGTATTGAATTTGCATACTTTTTATAAATTTTTGTGACTGAATCTTTAGTAAAGGCACTAATTCTTGGCCGATGCAATTTAGTCTTAAATCAATGCTGAAATCGTGCTTCAGATGTCCTTAAAAAGGACACCGGCAGAAATCAGGCTAATATCTTCGGGGCAAATTAGTTTGGTCTCTGGTCCATACAGTAGCACAGGCCTCATCGCGGCACTATACAGCCTGCCTTTCACTTAGAGGTTGTTTTCTTATCACATTTATTCATGGCTGAGCAAACGCAGAAAGTGCGGAGCTACTCATCAGCTTATTCAGCAATGCCTGCACTGCCACTGTGTCCGACCCAACAACGGTTTAACTTTTTCAGTCCCTCAAGTTGTATGACTTCCACTCTAAAAGCGATTGAGAGTACAGCCTCCTTTATCATCATTTCGATCACAAAATTGCAAAAGGTGAGTATAGGACAGTCATGGTGAACCCCATTTGGCGTGGGAACTTCACAAAACTGTTTTCCCGCAGATCCATCACGGGCGTCGTGAGTTATCGTAGGAAGATTAAAGCATTGAAAGGCGTTTCCGTGTCATGCGCTTCATGCCCACTCAGTATCATAAGCCGGCACAATCAACAGCTTCATCTCAAGGAAACGCATCGCGGTCTGTCACCTGTACGCTTATGTATGCTCCAGTGCAAGTCGAAGAGTAAATCTGTGGTCCATACCTCCACGAGATAGCATGAGAAATTTCGACGCAACAGAAATAAGCTTAGTGCTTTGATTTTCACGCATTGTCCCTCAATACTATATATATATATATATATATATATATATATATATATATATATATATATATATATATATATATATATATATCCTGAAGTTGAAGGGTTTCCTTGGGCCACCACTGTACAATGGCAAAGGGGCAAGCAATGTTGCACAAATTATTGTGGCATCAACTTGCTGAGTTGTGTAGGTAAGGTGATTGCCCGAATCCTGCTCAACCGCCTCATCAGTCAGGTTGTAGAAACAAACGTGGCGGAAGAGCAGTGTGAATCCCGTTCGGGTCGCAGCACTATAGTTATGGTTTTTGCGGCTCGTCAGTTGTAGGAGAAGTGCAGAGAATGACACAAGCCGTTGCACTCGCTTTTTGTTGATTTCACCAAAGCATTTGATATGGTGAACCACGAGGCATTGTGGCTGGTATTGCGTAAGTTTAGTTGTCCGAGTAAATTTGTTAGCTTAGTTACATGTCTGCCCAGTGATATGTGGGCAAGGGTGCAGCTGAGTGGAGAGACCTCTGATGACCCTGCGGTTGTCTCTGGTGTGAAGCAAGGCTGTGTCTTAGCTCCTGCTCTGTTTAATATTTATTTTCATACCATATTGTCTTGTGATTTGATGAGGCTTGGTCTTACGGTGTTCGTGTAGAGCACCATATTGATGGTGGGTTGCTGAACATCCGTCGTTTCGATGCGAGAACCCTAGTCTGTGAGACAACTATCCGTATGTTGCTGTTCGCTGATGACTGTGCGTTGTTTGCACACAGCGCGGATGAGTTGCAGCACATGACTAGTGCTCTGGCTTCGATAGCGGTCAAATTCGGGCTCACTATCAACACAAGCAAAACTGTCTGTTCCTTTATCATTCACCTGGGGGTGCTTTCTACACTGTTGTCGCGAATCGGCTTTGGTGCTGTAGTGCTAGAAATGGCCTCCTGCTTCAGCTACCCTGGGAGTGTTGTGTCGACTGCTCAGTTGCTACACGGTGAGCTTCGTATCTGCGTGTCGTAGTCATCGGCAGCATACGGGAAGCTTGAGTACCGAGTGTGGAACAACCATCAGCTTACCATTGGCACGAAGTTGATGGTGTACAAATCCATGGTGCTGTTCATTCTTCTATACGGCACCGAAACGTGGACGATGTACTGGCGGGATGTGCGATATATCGAGCGGTTCCATCAACAGTGTTTGCGACGGATTCTGCACATAGGATGGGGCGACAGAGTAGCGGACACGGAAGTGTTGCACCGAAGTGGAATGTGTGCAGTGGACTGCATACTTTTACTGCGACACCTGAGATGGCTCGGTCATATTCGACTTACAGATTCAATGCGGATACCGAAACAGTCATTAAATGGTCAGGTATGTTGTCGTTTCAAGTGATTGGCTGTTGCTTGATATCCCCGGTATGGCTGCGCTTGGTGTGCATGTTGACAAGGTGCCTACTTGTCTATTACCCACTACCTCGTCTATACTGGCTCCAGGAGATAGTTGGTCGTTACTGGAGGGGACGGGGTTCACGGTCCTTGTGGCCGTGCTGTTATCAAAGAGTGGTTCCATGCCCTCAGTTCAAAGCGGACCACGATCCAGCCACCGCCTTGGACGAGCTTGATTCCCAAATACAGCGT